ACGAGTAGCATAGACTAAATTTTATTTTGGAAAAAAATAGGGTTCCGTAAAATATTTGGCTTTTTCGGACAGAAGGTGTAAGAAATCAACCAGAAAAGTTACTTATTTTGCGTACGCTACCTAAAATATAAAAGATAGAACCATAAAATGTTCTAATTAATTGGAGATCTTATAAATATATACAAAAAAGTCCGCGACACACTACACATATCTATGTCGAGTGAGGCACAACGACCATTTTTTTATTTAAAAATCTTAACCATTTTTTGGCCTACATTTAAACGCATTTATTTTACTCATGCTATTAATCCCTAAGAACAGTTTATGTTGATAATATTTGGTATTTAAAATATTAAAATTGGACTGCCTCGTTGGCCGAGTGGTAGCAAGTGCGACTGCCGGGCAAGGGGTCTCGGGTTCGATTCCCGGGTCGGGCAAAGTATTACTGGGTTTTTAAATAATTCTCAGTAGTAGCACGGAGTCTGGAATTGTGCCCGGTATATGGCAATAGGCTCACCCCCTATTACATGGGACTCATAACATAAATAGTGAAAAGTGGGTGTTACATTGTACAGTGGCATAATGTGCACCTCTGCCTACCCCTTCGGGGATAAAAGGCGTGATGTTATGATGTTATAAAATTGGACGTTTGGTTTTGAAGTTATTGCGAAATTAAAATATTACTATTTCTGCGTTGCGAAGTGAGCGTTGACGCTCACAAACGGTGTCTGCACAAAAAATACCCTCGCCGTTTCATGAACGATACCCAAACCAACAACATGAGAGCTCACTTACATGGAAATACTCAGCAATTTTCCACAACAGCTGCTGAAACATGGAGAAGGATTTTTTACATTTTTATATTTAAGAAGCTCTACAATAATCGCTTTTTTATCTGTCCTAAAACAACCGGGTTACACTTCGGGACTCCCGGCAGAAGTGAAAACTTAGTATTAATTACATTTAAATATTTTCATCATTAACAACTTTAACATTCTCATAAAGACAATCTATGCAGCCTGTGGATAATGATGATGTGGTTTGTCCATCTTTCGCGGCAAAACGGAGTGACGAATTGATGTTTTTTTTAAGTGGCGATAGTTAAATAAAAGGATGGACAGTGACATGGGCTCTTTACCGCCCAACGAAGTGGTTGCGGGTCAGCTAGTATGGAATGAACTGGTAAACGAGCAGACGGATTACCTGATGGTAAGCAATCGGCGCCGCCCATGGGCACCTGGAACACCAGAGGCGTTACAAGTGCTTTACCGGCCTTTTGGGGATTAGGAGTTTGAGGATCGTTGGGATTCAGGAATTAGGGAGATTGGGGAAGGGGAGGGTAATTGGGCCTCCGGTAACCTCACTCACACGACGAAACACAACGCAAGCGTTGCTTCACGTCGGTTTTCTGTAAGACCGTGGTGATAACTCCGGTCAAGCGTGACTGCGAACACCTGACCGCTTATTGTTATTAGATATTTAATCACGGACGTACATTACCTAACCACATTGGTACCTAGATTTTACGCCGTGAAGTTTATTACTTTTATTCTATCTACAGTAATATCTTAGAGCTTTAAATACTCTAAGATATTAAGTGTATCTGAGTACACCTAACTTGAATTCATTATGACCCCATATCGGGTGAGTGTTGCAAAATTTATTTTAACTAGATTTAAGTAATCGTTGCATGAATTGCTAAAATTTCTGTGATTCAAACTATGTGTTCTACCGAGTCTCCGTATTTTAGTTGTGACGGATTTTGACTTTCTCATTATATTAAGTTCACCCTTTTCATGTATTTAGTTTTCTTGATAAAATTAGTTTTGTGAAATTGTAATTTTCTGTACATCATTTTTAGTAAATCTTTTTCATCTACCTCACGTTTCTAAATATCATCTTTTGCTTAATCATGCTTTTAAATTGTACCACGCTGCCTAGACTGCCTCATCTCGACGACTACTTAGTGCTAGGTTACCTCTTTTCCTTCTTAGTATGTTGGGTGGCAGTCGGGATGTTGCAGTCGCCGAATGGATTCGGGTTTTTTGTGATGCAAGCAAATAACGAATTCCAGGGTTCCCTCCTACCCGCTCTCCACGGGACTACTACTACTCCCAGAACCGGGACGTTGCCGCCGAAGCCGCTGAGGAACGGAGCTACCCCCGCGACTCTGACAGACATCTGCCAACCGGACGCCGACTGTGGTATCCACCTGTGGACTACTAGTGCAGGATAGTGGTGTTCCTTCCGGCGAACTATACTTTTACGTGCGCTCGATATTTTGTACTCACTCCCGGCTGAACCGAGTAATTGTAATAATTTTTGTTTCTGTAAAATAAATTTGTTAGCCTACCTTCAAATGTTCTTTCTTTTATTTTAATTTTTTTGATTCGTTAGGCGTGCTACCTACTGCCTACGCGACAGTATGCTCAGAAAGTTCCTACAATTTCCGTAACAAAAATATAATCCAATTTAAGAACCAAGTATTGCATTTTTAGAGAATGCTAGTTTCATTTTAGGCATAAATGTTTCACATCACACATATCAAGAGCCTATAAATACTCACTACTGAGTAAAGCCTTTTCTCACACAGAGAAAGTTTAGGCATTAATCAACACGCTTGCTCAATGCGGGTTGGCGATTTCAAACTTATAATTAGACATTATAAGCCCAGGTTTCCTCACAATGTTTTCCTTCGCCGTTTGTCAGTGGTGTCTAGATAATCTTTGAAAGTGACAGGAAACAGTGTGACTAACAAGATTTTCTTTTGTTCTTATAATAATAGAAGTATGGAGTTTTATCTATACTTATAATAAATCTGTAGAGAGGTCAATTCTGTACATAAAATATATTTAAAAAATAACTATCAAGGGGTGGTTAGGGATCGCTACTGATGCCAAAAATGCAATCAGTAAAATTTTTGTCTGTCTGTTTGTCTGTCTGTATGTTCGTTATGGAAACAAAAACTACTCGACGGATTTCAACGAAATTTAGCACAATTATTCTTCATACTCTTGGGCAGGTTATAGTATACTTCTCATTACGCTACGATCAATAGGAGCAGAGCAGTGAAGGGAAATATTGGGAAAACGGGAGAAGTTACTCCATTTTTTAAGCTTCCGTCGCGTGTGCAGGCTTATAGGTTAAAGCTACATAGAAATCATGTATGACGGAAATATTCTCCTTAAAATTATGTAAAAAATATTCCTCGACAGCATATGTCTATCTTTTATGGTTGACTCACAATAACACGTGAATCTCCCGATAACTTAGCAATTCGGTGATTTCTGATTGTATTTGTCTACTCTAACGTTTACAATACTCATTCATAGACTTTACGCTGTAACTGAAAGGCCAATGGTTGAAATTAGCTTGACTCGATATTATAAATGAAAATATGTGAGTTTATGTGTATGTTTGTTACTCAGTCATATTAAAACGACTGAAGGGACCGGAATGAAATTCGGAACAGAGGTAGATTATGGTCTGAAGTGATACATAGGCATTTTACCCCTGGGATCGCGGGCGAAGCCACTGGCAGAAGCTAGTATAGATATATTTTTTTAAGGGGGGAAAATCATCGAATAACCTCTCCCGCCTGAGTGAGGCGGGAGGGAGTGTTAGACTCTTTATACTGACTAAAAACCATCATGTTCCTACTATTGCACTTCGAGCCGGAGCCCCGGTAACCCTTTAGGATCTCCGCGACTCCGAATCGTAAGATATACTAGCGACCCGCCCCGGCTTTCCACGGGTGCAATATTATACATATAAACCTTCCTTAAACTGTCAAACACCGCGAGGACAGTGACCGCAACCTATTGTTCTTTAATTGTGTATTAAAGAAAACCGCATCAAAATCCGTTGCGTAGTTTTAAAGATCTAAGCATATATAGAGACAGGCAGACGGTGGATAGCGACTTTGTTTTATAATATACTAGCTTTTACCCGCGGCTTCGCTCGCGTCACAAAAGGATAAAAAGCCAATGTAACATATACCAATACAAACAGCGCCATCTATAGGTACCAATACTTTCGTTTTCCCTCAGGAATATCAAATAAAAGGAATATCGGACAAAAAGTACCCTATTATTTAATGTGGACTTCTAACTTTACATCTGCAAAAATTATTAGCAATCGGTTTAATAGTTATGGCGTGAAAGTGGAACAAACAAACAAACAAACAAACTCACTTTCCGATTTATAATATTGTAGTGATTAGACTGGACTGATGATGATGATAGCTGATTTTATTTATGTATATAGAGGTAAGTATTTTTATACGATAGGAAGTCGAGTGTTTGTGAACGATAACATATTAGGTTATAACTCAGTACATTTCGATAAATAGCGCTCATCGGGCGTTTGGCTCAATGAAACATAAAACGTTCAAATTAGTGAAACCAAATAGTGCTTTTAGTGATATTGGATTAACTACTGTCAATCTAGAACCTAATGAAATGATTATAAGTTGGAAAATGCCTGGACTAAATTTAATTTTTATTCATATTGTGAATAAAAGTGATAAAGTACACGACTACAGACCGAGTGACACAAAACCGGTTCATCATAGCCTCAGTTTGTGTAATCCTTCGGAACATTAAGGAGTGGAATTTTTGCCGGAGTCTGTATTTCCTGAAGGGTATAACCTGAGTGTCTTCAAGGCCCGAGTGAATAGGTTGCTTATGGGACGACGTGCTCCATTGTAGACCGCATCGTCGCTTACGCAACTGTTTCTAACATTATGAAACAAAGGAACGGACCCGTAGATCTTTGGATGATTCTAGAAAGTCATATATATTTTATGTCACAGTGCCACGCCCTAAAATTGCAATGCATCCAATATTCAGACGAGAAGATAGATAAGACAAAATGGTGGATAAATTATATGTTTGTGACTACGCTTTCTCATAGATGGCGTTAATGTGAGCGTCTCTAATACCGTTTAGCGCCATCTATTGAGCGATAAAACTATAGGTAGCCTCCAATTAGGTTTAAAAATGGCTGAAATTTTCGATAAAAATGACACTGCCAAGCGTATGATTAATAGGAGGGGGGGGAGGGAGTTGACACAAGTTATCGCGTGCACTGATAAAGATAGTGATTGTTTCACAGAGCTTCTACCGAAGTGCATTACAATGGCAGTGTGGACAAGCTATGTTCATGATTGGGGGACTTTCACTGACCAAGCTTCTGAGCAGTAAGAACATTTTAAGCTTATTTTCTTAACTCATTATTACCTCTATATTATAGTTCAATAACATAACATAACATAACATCACGCCTTTTTATCCCCGAAGGGGTAGGCAGAGGTGCACATTATACCACTCTGTACAATGTAACACCCACTTTTCACTTTTCACTGACTGCCTCGTTGGCCGAGTGGTCGTAAGTGCGACTGCCGGACAAGGGGTCTCGGGTTCGATTCCCGGGTCGGGCAAAGTATTACTGGGTTTTTTAAATATTCTCAGTAGTAGCACGGAGTCTGGAATTGTGCCCGGTATATGGCAATAGGCTCACCCCCTATTACATGGGACTCATAACAAAAATAGTGAAAAGTGGGTATAGTTGAATAATAGTACACAATGTTAAGTCCACACATATTATGTTTAATGAAACCACGAGTAGTACTAGTAGTACCATGTAGTACTAGCAACAGACAAATGTACATAAATACTTAAATTAATGTATATACAAAAAGAAATATAGTTACGTGAGTAAGCCAAAAACATAATAATTAATTTACAATAAACAGTCGTGCTAGTTACACCAGTTATAACTCTAGAATGGCTGAATAGATGTGGTTGGAAATTGGAGGGGAGATAACTTAAAACCAGGAGACGAACACAGAATACTTTTTAATTTTTTTTATTCTGAGATAAGCCGGTAAACGACCACACAGTTCGCCTGATGGGAAGCAATCGCCGCCTAAATCTACCAAGGGGCTATCTCTTGAATCCAATTCCGATCGATTGACATTGATATTAGATTTTTCTTCTCCTCTTATAATATCTTCTGATTCATTTCGTTGCGGGAACCAAGACAGTTACTCATGTCCCTGGGACGCGCCGGACTTCAGTGTTCCGGTGTTTTCATGGTTGTATCTACTGTAAGATCCTGGCTTACAGGAGTTGCAGCGGTTTTGGGAGGTTGTGGCGGGCTTGTCCCATTAAAAAATGACATTGGTATTGTGAAATTTCGTACTCTTGTGTTGCAAAACTAGCGCCCATTGCATCCGTATTGCGTGGACATTGTATGAACTAAATAGTATTGAGTTTAGCTTTATATTCCGTAGGTACTCTGAATGCTATTTTAACAGCTACGATTGTGATTGTATAGTTTTGATATTGAATAAATATTGAGATCTTCTTGGATTGAAATTGTATTGACATTGAGATTGGTTTCAAGAGTAAGCGAGTGGAGGCGTTACAAGTGCGTTACCGGCCTTTTGAGGATTAGGCTTACGGTTTATTTGTATTCTTCTCCTAAGAGTAACAAACATTTTTATGATAACCGCATCAAAATCGATATAGCCAATCCCGTGATAATCGCGCACATACTTATATACATACTTACATACATGGTAGATGTCCCACCCACACGCAGGAAGCGCTTCGCATCAAGCTTCCTTGTACGTACTGCTAAGGAGTGGAATTCTTTGCCAGTCTGTATTTCCTGGCGGGTATAACCTGGGTGTCTTTAAGGCCCGAGTGAATAGGTTACTTATGGGACGACATGCTCCATCGTAGACCGCATCATCGCTTACTACCAGGCGGGATAGTGTTCAAACGTTGGCCCATCAAATATATACATAAATGAAAAGAAAACATACAGGTTAAATTGAGATCCTCATTTTTTGAAGTCTGTTAATAAATGTGTATTTGATTCGTTTCAGATACATGATTAGACCGTTGATGGAAAAGGACATCAAAGCCGCTTTTACAGTCATTGCTGCCGTTATTTTGGACGATAATATTTTCAATGTATTGGGTAAGTTTAATCTATTAGCTTCAGCCCGCGGCTTCGCCCGCTTTCTCTTGTGGGATTTGTAGCCTATGTATGTACCTATAGACCAGACCATAATCTATGCCTAGTCCAAATTTCATTCATTTTGATATGATTGAGTAAAAAACACACACAGACTCACATTTGTAATATTAATAATATATAATAAGATGTACATTGGCGACAGCATATCGACCTACTCCATAATGCAAATGTCAATGTATTTTCGAATTTATATATGAACGATTGAAATGAAAACCTAATGAAGAAGTTTGGCAAATAAGAGTAGTTTGACCTGCTGCCCATTGTACTATATAAAAACCTATCGTGTTGGCATGGAGGTAAAGGCGTCCGCTTCTCATACACAGGGTGCGGAGTCAAACGTCTCGACATTTTTCCGAGTTATACGTACTTTCTAAGATTAGGAGGAAACCTGGGCTTATAATTTCTAATTATTAGTTAAGTAAGCGTGGCGATTAATGCTCAAACCTTCTTGTGATAAGAGGCGTTTGGTCAGCAGTAACCAGTTATAGGTCGTTATTATATTACTAATTTAACTGTTAACTGACTGCCTCATTGGCCAAGTGGTCGCAAGGGCGACTACCGGGCAAGGGGTCTCGGGTTCGATTCCCGGGTCGGGCAAAGTATTACTGGGTTTGTAAAAACCTCAGTAGTAGCACGGAGTCTGGAAATGTGCCCAGTATATGGCAATAGGCTCACCCCCTATTACATGGGACTCATAACATAAATAGTGAAAAGTGGGTGTTACATTGTACAGTGGCATTAAGTGCCGTAATGTGCACCTCTGCCTACCCCCTTCGGGGATAAAAGGCGTGATGTTATGTATGTGTATATTACTAATTTAACTTTGTACCTAATACAGATTTCAGATCGGATAAAGTTTCAATCGAATCTCTGCTATCGTTTGTAAAAGAACATTTGAAGCCAAATCTGACGTTTGGCTGCTTCAAAAAAGACGCGAACGAACTAATTGGAGTTGATGTGATTTATATACGGAACATAAACGATAATGACATCAAGTACGGCCCTGTAAGTATTTATTAAATTTTATGTTATTACTAACTACTGCCCGCGGTTTCGGGGTTCTCGTGGGATAAAAAGTAGCCTATAAGCTCCCCTTTTTTTGAGGGGCGTAAATCATCCAATGACTGCTCCCGCCTGGGTGAGGTGAGAGGGAGTGTCAGACTCTTACTGACTGAAAACCACCCCGTTCCTACTCCTGCACTTCGAGCCGGAGCCCCGGTAACCCGTTAAGTCCTCCACGGTTACGTGTAATCTATCCCTACTAGGTCCCTTTTCACCAAGCTCTGTAAAAACTCAGTTACACGTAACCTAAGTTTAAAGTTACCTAAGTTCTGTGTTCTGTGTTTTCTGTACTGAGTTCCGTGTAAACTAGTTTCTGTTTGTAGCGGTGAAATGTAAAATGAAGCTGTAACTTCGTTTAAACGCTTTAAATTCGATTAGACGCTTTAAATCAGTTTTGTTAGGTGTAATCGTGATCAGTTTCGTTGGTGAAAAGGGACCTAAGCTATCCAGTGACTGTCAATTCGAACTTTAAAGAAACAATTTGTAGATTACACAAAGAGTTGTTCCCTGCAGGAATCGAAGCCGTTGCGCGGTTGCTGGCGTAAACCGTGCAGTCAATGGCGCCAATATTTTTGCTCACTAGATGGCGCTAGTGTGAAACCTCTCTTTTTTCGTCAAATAGGGAACTAGTTAGTCTCACACCATTGGACTTTGAATATTAGGCAACAGCTGTGATTGGACAAAATAACCTCGTCCTACATTTGCGCCGTGTGGCGAGCAGATAAACGTTAGCCCACAATTATTTTGATTCATATTTCAGGAGTACGGGGAAACGTTCTGTAAATACATGAAGTACCTGAAGTTTGTCGAGAGACGGCTACGATACAATGTTGCTGCGAAATACGTAAAATACCTCACTTCACTTGGATTGTTCATATTGCCAGAATATCGGGAGACTGATATTGAAAAATACATGCTGCGTATTCGGTAAGACAAATTTACTTTTTCATACTAGTGCTACTTACTCCCGCACGATGTCACCCGCTCTGCTCGTCTCCTATTGATCTTAGCGTGATATTTTATGCCATTAAAATTAATAACTACATTTGAACCAGTAGTTTCATAGACTGCCTCGTTGGCCGAGTGCTCGCAAGTATGACTGCCGGGCAAGGGGTCTCGGGTTCGATTCCTGGGTTTTGAGATTTTTTCGTCAATCACGGGGTCTAGAATTGTGTAATAGGGGGTGAGCTATTGCCATATACCGGTATATGGCATAGACTCACCCCCTATTATATACATACATATATATACATGGGACTCATAACACAAATAGTGACAAGTGGGTGTTACATTGTACAGTGGCATTAAGTGCTGCTGTAATGCGCACCTATGCCCTTCGGGGATAAAACGGCGTGATGTTATGTTATGCCGTGTAGTTTCGTAGATTAACGTGTTCAAATATACAAGTAAACAGTGTCTATCCTATAAATCCCGAGTACCTTATCAAACAGTCGTGTGAGTATACCGAAATTGTTTACACATGAACATGCCATGTCAGCGAGATAATCCTACGTGATAAAGTACTGAAAAACCTTTATTAAATATACAACTAATAAGTACCTACTTACGTAAGGATATAGCGCTGAGATGGTACATTACACCCATAGCACACAATCATAGTGTGGTATGGGTGTACATAGGATAAGTTTAGTATATAAGATCATGTAGTATCCTTACTCTAATATTATAAATCGGAAAGTGAGTTTGTTTGTTTGTTTGTTTGTTCCACTTTCACACCGTAACTACTAAACCGATTGCTTTGAATTTTTGCAGACATGAAGTTAGAAGTCTGGATTAAATAATAGGGTACTTTTTATCCCGGAAAAATTTATATTCTCGAGGGAAAACGAAATTATTGGTATAGATGGCGCTGTGTGTATTGGTATATGTCACATAGGCTACTTTTTATCCTTTTGTGACGCGAGCGAAGCCGCGGGTAAAAGCTAGTAAGAAATAAAACATTCACTAGTTGATTCCGACTTTGACTCACTACCTTTCCTCCACCTCTCGGTGGAGGAAGCTCCTCCTCTCACTGTGCCAAGGCACCTTTAGCTATCAACCGATCTGTCGTGTGAGTCTGCTCGACAGGCAGTGAGAAAACCCTCACCACCATACCCCATTCCTACCCACATTCTATCTGCCATCAAAGGTCTCAGGTGGCCTCCCGAAACTTCCACGTCCGGTGAGGACGCCGTAGCGTCTCTCAAGCCACTCCTCAAAGAGGGGACTTACCGCTGCGATGGCAGCGAGCCCAGCCCTCGGTTGCGACAGTCGTTGCTGTCATTCCGTTGTATTTAATATAAATAACAGATGCAATTCAAATTCCGCGCCAAAATGGAAAACAGTTTTGGTAATCTAACAACTACAAAAAAACTAAAATTTGAATTTGGACCCATAAACAAATCATCCATTCCCGATACTTTTTTGACTGAATGTATGTCGTATAAACATCACCATACAGCCCATACGAGCCGAGCAGAGCGGGTGAAATTTCGTGGAAGTAGCTAGTAATAATACAAGACTACTCCCCGCCTGATGGTAAGCGAACAATGCGCCTTGAATACACTTGTAACATCAGAGGCATCACAAATGGGTTTCATCATCATCAACAGCCCATGTGCCCACTGTTGACCAAAGGCCTCTTCTCACACGGAAAAGGTTTGAGCATTAATCACCACGCTTGCTCGTTGCGGGTTGGGAATTTCAAACTTATAATTAGAAATTATAAGCCCGGGTTTCCTCACGGCGGAGAGCGAGCAAGGGTGACTCACCGCCCGACCAGAACCAGGCCCCAGCATACGGAGCCGCGGAAGACTTAACGGGTTGCCGGGGCTCCGGCTCCAAGTGCAGGAGTAGGAACGTGGTGGTTTTAGCCAGTAAGAGTCTGAGACTCCCTCTCACCTCACCCAGGTGGGAGAAGTCATTGGATCCCCCCCCCCCACCACAAAAAAGGTTTCCTCACGTTGTTTTCCTTCACCATTTGTCAGTGGTGTCGAATTAATCTTAGAAAGTACATATAACTTGGTAAAAGTCACATTGGTACTTGCCTTTGGTAGGTTACGAGCCCGCACTCTCATGCATGAGAAGAGAAGACAAGGGAAATATTTATTAGTGTCATATTTTTTCTTTTAATTTCCAGAAAAAAAGTTGCTTCACATCGTGGTATCGTGGTAAACGGAGCTGCTCTGATAGGGAGGAAAATTAAAAAAAATGCCAAGGAATTGAAGTACAAAGTATTTGAAGAAATCAGAGAAGTTAATGTGGAGGGTACAGACTTGGAGTACCTCAGGGGAGCTGCTGTGTTTCCTATTACAATAGTTGCAATGACAAAATTTGGTACGAAACCGAAATCTAAAACTGTTCCTTCGAAAAGAGCAAAGCGATCATCATCATCATCATCATCATCATAAGCCAAAAGACGGCTACTAATGGACATAAATGCCTTCCGAACGAGTACAACAAGCAAGACTATGATGACCTAGAGATTCTCTAAATTGACTGCACGGCCGGTGCGTTAGCTGGGCAACCGGCAGCCGCGCAACGTGTAGCGGGTCTGATTCCCGCTCGGAGCAGCTTTTTATGGGATCCACAAATTGAGTACTTGCCAACTATTCAAATTCAATACTTTTTTCGAACTGTCAAAAACGATAGTTTTCTATGAATTTTGTACGATGTGTATTGTGACGTCACGTTTTTTTAACGTCAATTTTTAAAAATTTTCTGATAAATTATATTGCTGGCCATAAAATCAATTAATGAAATTGTGATTATTTTTTAATATTTCATTGCATTGTACAGTCGAAACATTTTATTTTTGATTAAGGAAAGTACCCAACTGTTGTTCCAAGTCTGGATGTGATGTGTATGTGAATTTGTATATTTGTAAATGCACCCACGATACAGGAGGAAATCCTAGTGTGGGGCAACATTTTTTTCGTGTGCCCTGTGATAAATATACACGGACCGCTATTGCAGACGGAGTCAACAGCTTGAAGCTGCCATTGATAACTACTCGAGCAGTCATCAATCTTAGGGCCGATTGTTCAATCATCAGTTAATTTTTAATTGAGAATAAGAATGACATTTGACAGTTTTTAGTATGGTAGTAGTTATTCCTTAGTTAAGAATTAAATGATGATTGAAAAACCGACCCTTAATGTTTACGAAAAATGACATGCTTAAATGACAGGTGGAGCAGTCAGTGTCTGCCTGGGGACTGCTGGCCTACAATCAAGCGGATAAATGTTTTAACATACGTGATATGAAATTAAAAAATTAAATGAAATGAAATAACGAAATAATTAAATGTAATGATATTTATTTCTGCAAATTGGTTACAAAGTAACACACGACAATATTTAAATTACTAGATGCAGGCCATCATTTCCTAACTGACTGCTCTGAGAAGAAACGCCGAAACAAACTTCGAGGTCAAAGTCCAGACAGATTATACAATGTGCGAGAACCGTGCAAGTTGATTCTGCAGTGGTCTTTTGAGGAAAGATCCACAACAGTTTAAGCGGACCTGTGGACATTACTGCAGCTCATTCCCAATCCTGACCATCATTTAGTTAGGCTTCTATTTTATAAAAAGCTTTACTGTAAATAAAACTACCCTGTACCCTAAATAACGATGTCATTAAAGATAAATTTAAAAATGTCCTTTAAGATAAATTTTAAAATGTCAATAAAGATAAATTTAATGACATTTTTATTTAGGGTCAAATATTGAATATGGCTGTGAATTTTATTGTCAAAGCGATGAAATATGCCACTGCCCGTAGCTGTTGCCGAGCTGTCCGTCCTGTAGGTACCATTAATAGCGGTCTGTGGTTCACTATGCAGTCGCAGCTTGAAGCAGTCGATCCTGATTGCTTCAGACAGTCCGTGTATGACCCTTAGCTGTTCCCATTCTTATGTCAAATAGTTTTTGCTGGTTGTCTTTTCAAACCGTGAATAGTTAGTAAAACTGCACTGATCAATTTTATTTATTATGGAAAAATGATAATAAAAAATGTAAAATGTTTGTGTTCATTTCATTTATGCGCATAAGTCATGAATTAATGTCTCTTGGGCCGAGTCGCAAGTGCGACTGCCCGTAATGGGGTCTCGGGTTCGAATCCCCGGGTCGGGGCAGTGTATTACTGGGTTTTTAAAAATCTCAATAGTATCACGGAGTCTGGAATTGTGGCAAAAGCTCACCCCCTATTATATTGGACTCAGAACATAAATAGTGAAAAGTAGGTTTTACATTATACATTGGCATTAAATGCCGTAATGCCAACCTCTTCGGGGATAAGAGACGTGATGTAACAAAAAAAAATTTATTAAATATCAGTTCACTATCTGAGGCTACAATTTGGGTCTCCTCATTCTTCCTCCTTTTCTTTAAAACAAATAAATAAATTGTTTCGTTCTAAAGTATAGAATGAACAAGAAATTCTATGGGTTACTCTTTTTCAATCAAGTTTACAATGTACAATTCTGTTCAGCTTGGCGATTCTGTAACTGTGAATTCGAACTTTCAAAGTAATCCGTTCACTTCGCGTTCGGCGCTTGTCGTGTGCGCTCGTACGGCTACTTACTTAACCTCTCTGTGCCAGATATTTTTTTCCATTGATAGTGATGCGTTACCACAACATCGACCTATTATCGATAGTGGGGCGGCATCGAGAATGGACAAATTTTTAAAGAAGTCGGATTCCACCAGAAACCGTAACTCCACTTCCAAAAGACCCGGTGAAGACCTTATTGGCCCTTGGCAATTCGCTAAGCGTCCTGCTGTCGCTCGGAATTCGGAGAAGTTCGACGAGTCGCGAAGATTACCGCTGCAAAATAAATACAAAGACCTCCCTGTGGAAGATAAGAACGAATCTGCAACGAATGCTTGCTTTATCGATGCATCAACCGGAGCAAAGAAGACGGGACATATCCCACCCCTGATTTTAGAGATACAGAAAGACTGGACCCATGAGTCTATTAAAAACTTAATCTCCCGGTTTACAAACAGGTTCCATCTTCAGTACAGAGCTAATAACAAATTTGCTGTTATCTGTTACACGTCTGACGCCCACCAGATTGTGAAGGAAGGGCTCCGAAAAGAAAACGCTGCTTTCCTTACATACACCCGAAAAGATGAAAAAGTCCCCAAAATGGTTATAAAAGGATTACCATCTTATTTATGTCAAAGAAGACCTACCTGATGAACTTGAGAAACTAGGATTCCGAGGAATATCAGTCTCAAAACTAAAGATTCAGGAAGTGAGTACATTAACTTGCCCACCTTATTTGGTCGTACTTCCAGTTGGAACAGATATTGCAAAGTTTCGTAAAATCAAATATCTATTTAATTGTGTAGTAAAAATTCAAAAATTTATGGCCAAGAAGTTTGGTGGTACTCAATGCTACAGATGCCAAAACTACGGCCATGCATCAAGAAATTGTAATATTATAATTGCAAGGTGTGTTAAATGTACGGAACCCCATGGTAGGAGTGAATGTCCTAAAAAAGACCGGACGGAACCCGCACAATGTTGTAATTGTGAACAAAATCACCCTGCAAACTACCATAAGTGCGAGGCTCGTCTTGCTTACTTGAAGCGTGTTCAAGCAAGACGTGAAAATCTACCTTCAAGACCCTCCGAATTAAGGTACTTATCTACGGATCCTGCGGTTGCGCCACCCATACCTAAGAAACCTTCTTATGCTGCTGTTCTTAAGACCCACACAGGTTATGATTCCATTGCGAAAGACGACCCATTATGGAATAAGAGGTAAATCTCTGGATCTTCTTACCTCATACTTGAGTAACAGGATTCAGAGAGTCGAGATAAACGGAAAAGTCTCCGCCGGGTCTGTTGTCAGGATGGGGGTTCCGCAGGGGTCAATTCTCGGCCCTTTTTTGTTTCTTATATATATAAATGACTTACCTTACCTCGTACGGGATAACCACGGGATAGTACTGTTTGCGGATGATACTTCGTTATTATTTAAACTTAAACGTAGACAATTAGTCATTGATAATGTGAACAATGCTCTCTCGGAAATAGTACGCTGGTTTAGTGCCAACAACCTATTACTAAATGGAACTAAAACTAAATGCATTAAATTTACAACACCAAATGTTGGACATGTTAAAACCAGCGTGCTCATTAAGGGTGAGGAGTTGAGCCCTGTAGATTCTACTGTCTTTTTAGGTATAACCCTAGACGCTAAGCTCCAGTGGGCTCCACATATAGATAAGTTATCGAAAAGGCTCAGTTCTGCAGCATATGCCGTTAAAAAAATTAGAAAGTTAACCGATGTAGATACAGCGCGATTAGTATACTTTAGTTATTTTCATAGTGTCATGTCATATGGTATTCTCCTATGGGGGATGCTGCTGACATTCAATCTATCTTTGTTCTGCAGAAGAGGGCCATTCGATCAATTTATAATCTTAGTCCGAGGTACTCTCTCAGGGAACTATTTAAAGAAATTAATATAATGACTGTTGCCTCTTGCATTTATGAAAATGTAGTATATGCTCATAAAAACAAAAATTTATTTAAAAAGCATAGTGATATACATAATACCAACACGAGAAATAAAGACAAATATGTTGTTCCCACTACTAGATTAAAGAAAATAAGTGGTTCGTTTAGATGTCAGAGTATACGCTTTTACAATAAAATTCCCAGCCATATCCAAAATTTGAGTCTAAATAAATTTAAAAATGCCATTAAAGATAAATTTTATAGTAAAGCTTTTTATAAAATTAAAGACTACCTAGATGATAGTCTGGCTTGGGAATAAGCTGCTGTAACGTCCACACAGGTCATGTTGACATGTTTGTAACATATAGTGACATTTCTTGACATTGTTTTTCATATATTGTTCTAACTTGACATTTGCTTTTTCCTTTACAATTGTTAGTGCTAGGACCGTGCGAGACTTTGCCTCACCATTTCTTTTCTAATTACCTATATTCTGGCAGTTTGAGTATTTGTGCGACCCACGCAAATGTTCTTTAGGTTGGTATTGTTCGTCGAATCAGTCAGCCTCACCTGTTAATTGAGCCGACTGTAAACCGACACATGCGTACTGCCTTCAGAACGGGTCCGCTCAAACTGTTGTGGTTCTTTCCTCAAAAGGCCACTACAGAAAGAACTTGCACGGTTCTCACACATAATCTTTTATACATATTGTCTGGACTTTAAAAGAGACAGACCTCTGAGTTTGTTTCGGCATTTCTTCTCAGAGTAGTCAGTTAGGAAATGTCGACCTCATCGTTCGCTTGATAAAATTAACGTGTAAAAGTGCTGCCTTGTAGCCTATTTGCAGAAATAAATTCACTTGTTTCACTTGTTTCACTTATTTCACTTGTTTCACTTGTTTCACTTGTTTCACTTGTTTCACTTGTTTCACTTGT